ATAAATCCGGTTCCGAGAGATCATACCGGGAGAGGGTCGGTGTTACAGGCTGTGACGATGTGAGAGCCATGATGGTCCAAGGGAGGCTACTCTCATTTGCTGCACACAGTTCAAGGTTATAATTTGGGTGTTAATGCGATGATGCTCAGACAACTCGATTTTATGTCTGCCGCAAAACTTCGTTTGGGCGGGGCATTATTGCATCCAAAAGTTTATATGATGCAATTTAAATATATATTTGAAACATTAAAACAAATCAAAATGTACCGGGAAGCAGCAGAATCGAAAGCGAAACTGAGTGTGCTCGAAAAAACCCTCCGACTTGAGGACTCAAGAAACAAACAAACCCCATAAGCACTTGTACCTGGGAAATTAGAATTTTTTCGTGAATCAAACTAGTTAACACATTCTTATCAATGATAATATACGACTTCCCTACTCTATTATTCATCTTGGAGCTCCCAGGAGGCCCCAGGATTGCAATCAATTCGTCTTACAAATAACGGTTTGAGGATGCTTGGTCAGGAGAGGAAAATCCTGAGGAAGTAACTCAAAGATACACCCTGCAGCAGCAGCCACTGGCGCTATCAGGTCCTTGAGGAACATTCCTGAACTCTGTTTCTTGATAGCTTCTCTCAGCTGAATACTTTCTGTGGCATGGTATTGTCTGTTGATAGTCTGGCCTCGTTAAAGATGTTGAAATTGAATTATCTTTTGTGACTAGCCATTTCAGTCGCTGCTTCAAAATATAACATTTTCTGCTCTGGAAGGGGGTGCCAAACAATTTTATTTATTTCCACAATACATTGTTTCACGGACATCCAGCATATCCAACGAACATTATAGACTTGTCGGACTACGGTTATAACGAACTCAAAGGGACCACTTATTTTAGTTCGTTATAGCCGCAGTTCGTTATAAGCATATATACAGCATATATGCAGCAAATATTCAACAAAAGGACGGGATCAAAACACATTTCGTAATATCCGTCCGTTCCTTTAAAGCGGGTGCGTTATAAACGTGGTTACTGTACTTCAAACATTAAACACATTAAAGCTGTTCAAATATTGGTGTCTTTATGTTTGGATAATGCAGAAAGATGTTTACCAGACAACTGGTACCTGAATGTAGCTTACGAGAGACAGCAGTCATCAATTTCTATCAGTACATAACTGTCACCTTACAATACGAATACTATACGATCACTATTTCTTTCAGCTTAAATGTTACATTGAACCATACATAGATCGATTCTAGTCTACACAGACAAGCACATGTGGCAGTAGATATCATAGCTTTAAGATGTGGACGTACACAGGTCTGGATCATCAACGTCGATTGTGTTGGTCCTGTAATATCCATAATATGGTTTGCCGTATTCCTTCCATCTAATATGGTGAAGTCGTATCCCAGTCCATGATGCTTCTAGCTACATATTGTGCATATTGGTCATGCAATGAAACAGTATAGGTCAATGCAATCCCGCTGTAATGTGACTCCATGAGTGAGTGAGCTGAGTTTTACGTCGCGTTAAGCAATATTCCAGCAATATCACGGAAATGGAAACAAGAAATGGGCTTCACACATTGTTCCAATGTAGGGAATCGAACCCGGGCCTTCGGCTTGACGGGGGAACGCTTTAACCATTTGGCTATCCCACGTCCCCTATATTCATGTTCAGTGCTATCTTTCTTTGGTCTGTGGCTTAAAATTAAAAACAAACGAAATACGTAAAATGGTAGTTCGCTGTATGCACCGAAATACCATTTGTACAGTCAATCTAGGCCATTTTTTCACTCAACTTGGAACACATTGCAACAGAACATATTACACTACAATGCACTTCTACAAGGTCCATAGAACAACATACTAAAAGTCCCAAGCAACCCCAGTTTAGGAAATATGTATAATTTGCGAAATCAAATAATGGCCACCAATTATCAATATATCTTCCATAATTCAGATGAGATTCAATCGTCTGATGAAAAAAATATATGTTATATTGCTAAATAGCCATATTGTGTTTCTAAAAAGAAATTCACAATTACTGAACGTTTTCTGCTATTGACAAATCTAAAAAAAATGAAGATGGCCGCCAATTTCAAGATGGCCGACGCATTTCCTAAATGTGTATTCAGATTGTTGAATCTTTTAACTCCCTAACAGTGTGCTAGGACTTAAATGCATAATTTTTACTTGGCACATTTACTCACGGAAGTATGATTAACACCTTAAATAAGAAACTCCGTCACCAGTGACCCCTGGTAGCCAAAAGATCCAAGATGGTCACCAAGAGATTGATAGATAGACATGGAATACACTGTTGGTCTCTGATGACATAGTTGAGTAATTTGAACTTCTACATTGGGATAAACAGACCCAAAGATGCATGTACAATACTCAAATATCTGCATAAATCCAATATAACAACCAAAGATCAATATCTATCTCTTAAATGACATGTTTTGGCGAGTTTAAATATCAATAATGATTGTTTTTGTCTGTATCAAATTATTGACAATTAACTCTAATACAAGTTTGTTTTTATTCATGTAAAGATTAGTTGAAAAAAAGTATGACTACATGAGGTCCTCTCAGAATTAATCCAAACCAGTTGTTTCACAAGAAGTCGATGAGTTATCTCCCTTGTAGTTCATCTGTGGATATCCAATGTAACCACCAAACATCAATACTTGAATATTAATCTGAAAAAGCTCATTCAGTTACAGGATTATGTGATTCATAATCATTCATTAGTACGTGATGAACAGGGGGAAATTGTCAAAGTGAATGCAGTAGCTTGAGGCTACAGGCTCATGATATACATACATGTACATCGGAAGTCTCAACAAGTTTGTCATCCTCTGAGAAGTCTGGTAACTGTTTATTGGTACAGCTTGTGTCATTGTATTCCCCGCACACAGCATTGCATATTTCCGGCAAGTGCATCTTCGTGTGTTACAGTCTTTTTTATAAATTACAGCAGGTGATGTCCGGGAGTGCTGAAGGTGCTGCAGGCGGGTCTGACTGTATTGGTAAGCACGTCCATCTATTAAGTGCCATCTCCACTCTAATTGTTTCATATTGAACCCTTTCCACTCCATTATCTGGTGGGGGTTGTGGTATCTGGCGGCTGCAGAGGATGATGGCAGAATTTGTGGCTCTATGCGTGATAAGTTTTTCGTGAGCTTCCCAAACAATCGCTTGTATCATAAGCTATCCAGCCCTTCCTTCTTACATCCTCCATTTTAAGACACAAAGACATATATCACTGCACAGCAGCTGCATTGATTGCTTTATGCACCACATCCAGTTCCTTCATGAAGCTGGCTTGTGTTCTCGTGCTGGGAACAAGTCATGTGCTTCACTTTCAACATGATGAAGAAGGTGGATGGGCATGTCTGTGTCATCTCTCACGGGACAGTTCGACAGCGTCTGAATCCGCATGGACTGTGCTGCACCAAGCTCCTTCCAGTTTGTCACCCAGACCAAGCGCTGTTTATGTTTTGCTGTGTTCAAGAATTTTTCCTTGTACGATAAAATAACCATTTCCCCCGTGATATATTCGTTCTCGCCAGAACTGGCCCCTGTGCGGCATCTTACGTTGATGGATCATCGTTGTGGCCATTAAAGACAACCGTAGCAGGCGCATATTTCCATACAAAATATAGATGGTGTATAGTTCATATACGTGATATAACGTAGAACCTCTTGGTCAGAGTAGCCGGTGAAGAAGCGCACTACTATAAAGAATGTACTGGACATTTTCAGGTTCTCGTTGTTTCATTTCGATGGTTTTCCATCAGCAAGGGTTGCCTTACTGGCCTGCAGTGCAAGGAAGGGCTGATTCATATAATGCTCCCCACCTGGGTGACAAACTGGATAGACCTGGGTGCAGTTCTGTACATGAAAAACAAGCGAACATTAACTTGTGTCTTTATATGGCGGATGTAAGGAGGAAGGATTTGGATAACTTAAGGTATAAGTGATTCTGTTGGAGGGTGATGAACAACCTACCACATGCAGAACCACAAACTCTGCCAACCTTTGTAGCCACAAGATACCACAGTTCCCGTGTCTACTACCAAGTAGATCCATTGGATTGCGGACGGCACATGATAGATGGACGTCCCTTACTAATACAGACAGATCAGCTTGCAGCACTTTCAGCATTCTAGGACATCATCTCTTGTAATTTCAAATGCGACTTAAAACACAGACGAAGCACTTGTCAGAAATATGATGTCATTTCAGTGTTGAGATGATGATGACAGATCTGTTGAGACTTTCGAGGTATAATGACCCTGCAGCATCTAGCAACAGCATTCACCATGACAACTTTGCCACTAATTCTTTACGTAATACTGTTCATAAATCACACAACCATGTAACTGAATAAGCAGTGGGTGAAACGTTGTCAGATTTACATTCAAATATTGGTATTTGGTAGTTCTAGTGGTCTACAATGACAACAAATGAACTACAATGACGATAACTCACCCACTACTTGTGAAAGAACTGGGTTTTCGGTAAATTTTGAGAGAACCCCATGTCGTCATTCTTGTTTCCAACATGAATGAAAACAAAACTTGTTATAGTGTTTATTGTCATGGTAATAAGTCATTTAAAAGATAATTATTGATGTTTAATGGTTACATTAGAGTTATGCAAATATTGGAGTATTGTACATGCAACCATGGGTCTGTTTACCCCAATGTAGAAGTTCAAATAACTCAAATACATGTATGTCATCAGAGACCAACAGTGTATTGATATTCCATGTTTATCCAGCAATCTCTTGGCGGCCATCTTGGAATTTGTGGCCACCTGGGGGCTCTTGTGACGGAGTTTTTATCTGAAAGTGTTAACATCTTGAAATTGGCGGCCATCTTGATTTTTTGTAAATTTATCAATAGTCGAAAAATTGAGAATATCTTTTTAGAAACACAATATGGCTAATTCGCAATAGAACCTCATCTGAAATATGGAAGATATATTCATTATTGGTTGCCATAGTGAATTATGCAAATTAGATATATTTCTCAAACTAGGATTGCTTGGGACTTTTAGTATGTTGTTCTAGGGACCGTGTAGAATTCATTGTGGTGACATAAATTCTGTTGCAATTTGTTCAAAGTGAAACAGGTTTCCCACCTGCTAGCCTTCAAATCATATTATGTGTCTCCGTTATTGTCTTAATCTATATATCTGATAACATAGTACTTCAAATTAGTTTTGGTGCAAAGCCCGTCGTCTCGTGTTACATAATCATACAACTTGCACTGTCTCTGATGTGAAAAGCCGGTTAGTGTAAAAGCGAGACAGTATTGTGTCGCAATACAAAGACTCCCGCACTGTCGTAAACTGGTAGTTGATGACGTCATGATGGCTGACACATTTACATCCGGTTCGACATTTGTCTGCTCCAGAGAATAATATTTATGCCGCATGGTGGGTGTCTGTAAGCATACTTCGGTATCTGTAAAAGAGCAAAATTTAAGAACATATATTTATTTCTTTTCTAAGATGACAAATTGAAAATTCACCTCTTATTGGAGCTGAGCTTAAAATCAATTCGTAATCTGTGATGTACATTGAATAACCTCGAACAGGGCTAACTGACGGGCTCCTCCACCTAATTACCTGCACCCTTATGTGAAGGGACAAATTTACGTTTTGAACATAATACAACACAACTAAAATGGGTAGATTGCTATTTAACCTCCCCCCTTTCCCCATCTTTTGAAGTGGGTGGATTTACTCACCAAACCTTGAAAGTATTCTTAATCGATATCCTTCGTATGCCAATACATGTGTATTGAAGAGGAATATAGCTTATTTATTTATGGGAATCGCCAAAGATTTCATTCATAGCCAGTTCGTATGTTTCCAATACCGTGAGTTTGACTAAACACAACTTAGCAGTGTCCTTCGAGACACAGTTAGGATTTGGAAGCACCAAGTTCACTGTGAATCTTCCATGCTGTCAACAATATGTTACTTGTTGTACACCCACTTTAGAAGTCGTTTTAAAACCAGTTGGCAGTGACACATACTTAAATTTATCAAGTCATTGCTCGATAATTCGGTTGCAAAATGAACAAGGAATTTCCATATTTTGACTCTATGCCATAATCAAGCACGGCAACCAGCTGTATGCAGTAGACCGTTATTTGACAGAAACATCCGGAACTCGTCTCAAACTGTTCAGATGAAGATTCATTCAGTTTTAAAACGTCCTATTGGGACACAAATTCAAATTGATAATATTTTATTTTATATAAAGGAAATACAAAAAATGTGGTGCCAGGATCAATATTGTTCAGTTTAGTGGAATTTTAACATGCTTTCGATAAATGTTTTCAAAGGACTGACATTGCATATACATGTATCACTACAGCACAATTTCCCAATACAATGAAATCATTTTATGCAACTAACTGGTCTGTCAAGTTATGCGTGCTTTTTATTTTTTTTATTTCAGCAATGAATCCCTAGTCCCAAACATAGAGAGAATAAATTACTATGATACCTTCATAAACGGAATCGTGATGTGGATCTGCTTTTTACTGAAGTTACTGTCTACATATATACAGATAAATCTACTTCATCTGACCTCAGTCGCGTGTGATGGAGATTGTTACTGCTGGTCTATAAAAATGACAGTTTGAACAAACTGAATGAGGTCGCTTTGTAATGTAATGACGTAATAAAATATATAACATCAGGTGTATAACGGGTTCAGATTTAAATTTTAAGATTAATAGTCGGAATCGTACTATCGACTCTTTTTTTCTGCAGATATTCCTTATTTTTATCGCTTTATTTATTAGCATGAGAATGGGTAATAAATAGAGTAACCCACTTGGTACTCGTGATTACGGACAATGTGTCTCTCATTAATTATTATAAATTTCACTCGTGACAAATTTTCCGTAACCTCGTTGGTTATTAAATAAATGTTATTCAGCTTCAGACCCGTGACGATCCGGTGTCTTCAGCAACCCATGCTTGCCGTAAAAGGCGACTATGCTTGTCGTAAAAGGCGACTAACGGGATCGGGTGGTCAGGCTCGCTGACTTGGTTGATGCATGTCATCGATCCCAATTGTGTGGATCGATGCTCATGATATTAATCACTGGATTGTCTGGTCCAGACTCGATTATTTACAGACCGCCGTCATATAGCTGGAATATTGCTGAGTACGGCGTTAAACAACAAAACCAACCAACCAATTATTCAGCTTCAAGCCGTCCCTACGCCTGTGGGATACTAAGGATTATGGATTCACTACTAGCACTATTTGCTTATGATAACAGAGAGCAAATAAATGTCTCATTTAAGCAAACACCTGCAGGCATTAAAATATATAAGACAGCTATTCACAAATAAGAACACGTTGAACAAACTTTCCACTAATCTAACCAATGAGTTTAGGACTGTTCGTTTTACAGCTATGCCAGAGCAGGATTAGCCTTTAAAAAGGCTGGGTTGGTGTATCCGCAGATGGGAGGAGAGGGTAAATAGGGTTTACAGTTGCGTTCAAGATTATTGAACTTATGTGACAGAGCACGAGTAAGACAAACCAATTATGTGGTTGGTTAATGTGTTTTTGCCATTGCTTTGTTATCGTGATTCGATTGCAAATACCGATCGACTGGTATTTCAGTTCTTGTTCCTCATGACAAACAATTAATCAACATGAAACATAGTTTGTATATTGATTTTGTGAAACACTAACAAGAGCCCCTATAATCGTCACGGGAGTCCTAAAGAATTCCATTTGATTAATTGATGTGTCCAATCAATTTATTATCCGTGGCTTCAGACTTAATGCTATGTTATTAAAGGGAAAAGCTTTCAAGGAACATGTAATAAGGCTCACTTGACAAACATGGGAAAAGGTTGTAGGTGGTGTCATCTGAACTTAATAAATCATCACCAACAAATCACTAGTTTAAATTTAATTTCTAATAATAACGTTACCAAATGATTTAGAAATGAAATGTCAACACATGGTACACGACGACGAATACATCCATGTTGACAGTTCACCAAGGCCGACGTATCCGTCAGTGATATCAACATTGTAATGTAAATGTGATCTGTTTATTGTTATTGACAGCACGGCAGAGTCTTTATACCATTTAGCCTACTGAAACACTTGGATACACGAGTCTGTTTTTAAAACAAAATACATCGAGTATTAGGTTTGTAATATCTCAATGTTTCCGTTCTTATAAGGGACCGTTGCACGTTGGTCAGAATATCCTTAAGAGAGGTGTGGGGTTGATGAGAGTATTGCTACAATATTTGAGTCGCTTCTTGACGACGTACAGTGTTTTTGTTTCCCCCGACAGAGCCAAACAATAATACAAAATCACAACACAATGTTAATAGAACATGCCACGTGTCCAATTAACAATAAACTGTATTTCTATTTTTACTTTTCTCAGTTGGTTCTACTTAGCTGGCATAGAAATAGCTGAGTGTGGTGCATAGTTGCAAGAGGCCAAGGGACAGGAAGGTGCTTGACCAGCATCAAGGCATAAAATATTCTACATGATGGCGTAAGCCGTCTTGGGATTCTTTTATTGGGATTCTTTTATCATAACTCAACTCATCCAACCTTTTCATCACCCGTGGTTAGAATGTGAAAGGTTACATACGTACCAAATATAGACTGGGACGGAAGGAGATTTTGACAGAATGAAATATGGCTCAATTTTCTGTCTGCTCCACTGGATATATAATCGTACACTGCCAAGCACGTGATACTGCCACGGAGACTGTCTTGTACATTTAAAGCTTGGCCCACACGGAGGCGTCCTGGCTCTGCTGTGCCAGGGGATCCCCTGACGCACGTGGAAACACGTGTCACATACGAGGCACCAATGACAATTCCAATGTTACTAACATTGCTTTCAATGATGACAAAGTGCCACACATCTGCAGTTAGAGCGACCGTGTGATCCAGAGAGTCACAACACGAAGAAGAATCACATAATGTTAGGGTCACGTTTGACGATCTCACAGTCAGCTTCAGATCTCCAATGCCAGCTTCAGTCCCAGTGTATCTGTAGTGTAGTATTGTTCCTGAAGACGGGATGCCCGGCTTTACAAAGAGGGCGATCTGGAAATCGCTCTGCATGATCCCAAACGTCACGTTCAGGTCTAAGTAGGAGACAGAAGCACCATCAAGCATCAGAGAATGTCGGGAAGGGATCTCGGGACAGCCATCAGCGAGTCTGGCACACTCGGACTGAAGAGGGTATTTTGGTGCTGTCCCACTTATGCTGTAACCAAATGTTGTGTTGTCCAGTCGCCACAGTGTGACTGGTTGGTGGACGACTTGGATACTAGTCGTAGTTACAGTTGTAGTTGTAGGTGTTGTAGTCGTAGTTGTGGTTGTTGAAGGGGTTAGAGTTGTTGTCGGAGTTGTAGTTGAGGTTGTTGTAGGGATTGTAGTAGTAGATGTAGGCGTTGTGGTCGTAGTTGTAGGCGTTGTGGTCGTAGTTGTAGGCGTTGTGGTCGTAGTTGTAGTTGTGGTCGTAGTTGTAGTTGTTGTCGGAGTTGTAGTTGAGGTTGTTGTAGGGATTGTAGTAGTAGATTTAGGCGTTGTGGTCGTAGTTGTAGTTGTAGTTGTGGTCGTAGTTGTAGTTGTTGTAGTTGTGGTCGTAGTTTCAATCAGAGTGTCGACATCGATGATGTCACTGGGCCCTAGAACAGAAAAAAACAAAGCCGATTAACTACATGTATTTTGAGTGATATTTATATAAAGCAACAGTTTTCAAACTCATTTCTGAAGGTAATATGAAACTGTCAGAGAATCTTGACGACAGTTTGTGATATTCGATAGTGATATGAGAACATAACACGTTTTATCAATATCTATTTCGGTCATGATATTGTCAGACAGTTAGTCCAGTCACACGCATACACTCGGCTTTCTGAATATTTTTGAGTGGATGTTACTTTTAGTTTTAACAAATGGACCACATCATTTAAATATTTAGCACATATCCGAACTTCCTTCTTGAAAGCGCAAGCCATATTGATTTGAAAATGTAATTTATCTTTTAATTTATCATGAGGGATTGATGTGCAATGGGCGGAAAAATTAACAGTCATAAATTCAATAACTTAAAGTTGTTTGTGGGATTAATTACAACTGTGTCATGTTTGGTTTGCTACTATGAAATTAGGCCTTGCTAGATTTTTGTCAGACTTAGTCTTTGTAGTTTTGAAAAGGATTTGGTGGTGCATTTGCTGGACCCTTCATTATATCTATTTTTATGGATTCTTTTAAAACCCAGGAATCCAGTTATAAGCTGGGGTGTATGTAGTCTTAGATGTAATAGGTATTACATGAGTGTGTAAAAATAATTCATGATTGTCACATTTTCCCCGAACGCATTTAACTGATTCACAAAGGAACAATGTGGTTGGACTCACTAGCAGAATCACTAGTGGCTGCAGGTTGTGTGCTCCTTGGGTGTGTATACACGGGGTGGGTGCTTGATGATAAAGATATGTACATTTCATTATTTAGCGTCTGATTCCTGTGATCGCTTTCAGCAGGTGTAACCGTTCTGTCTGTTTGGAACCACAGTGTACAGTGGCACCACAATCGCCAGTTATGAACTCAATGGAACGCTCATTGACGAGTTGCATCTCCGCATACAACACCACAATGAGGAGCAACTGGCACTGCGACATGCCCGACACGCCAACTGGGCTTATATTTCTAAACGTGGGATCCATCTTGTCATTTCGTCCGTTGACTGGTGCCAGTCATTCCTTGATCACGACGCTATTCCTTGATATAGAGGATAGAGTTCTCTGCATACTGGGCATGCTGTTCAGTTTGTGATCAGCCATCACACATTCATATGTGCAGTCAATTTGTATAAGTTCCCACACCAAACATCTGGTGCTGCGCTAAACCTTTATTTTCTGTACGAGTAACTGATACATTGGTTCCCTATTAAACGTCAGTATATATTCTGAGCTCATTTCCGACGAGTGTTGGTGGCAGCTCATTGAAGCGATCGTAAAAATTCAAGTGCTATTGTTTCTTTTGATTTTATTGACGGTCTGCGACAACGAGAGTACCTGAGTTGTTCGGCTTTATAAATCAGTTTCTTGAAGGATCGCTGTACCTATATGAGAGTGAGACGAGGGCGATTCAAGACCTTCTACGAACTGACTAACGTCGTATCTTCTCGACACTGCGGACGGGATACCTATCAGAAGACTTTTCGCTTGCATACAACACAGAATCCTAGATTTAAGAATTGATCAGGTACCTTATTCAATAAATTCGACTGTGACAAAAACTGGACATCCGTGATAGCACTGACTTTTGGCCTATTATTTATTGCTGATTCCACATATTGAGCCGTTGTATTATCTTTTGTGACTGTAAACCTCATGCACTATGTTGTAATATAATTTCTTAATTATTCATTGATCTTATATGGACATTTACTCATTTCACATTATAGTGCTGTACATATCGATTTCTAGGTTGACTTTCGCGTTTCAACTTGGGAATCAACACGTAGAGTGTTGGGTGCAGCGTGTAAAATATACCGTACTTGAGAAGCAGATATTAATAAAAGGTCCAATATTTTGTTTTGCGCATGAAACGAATTTTTTCATAGTTTTAAGCGTAAAACGATAACTGTGTTTTCTTATACAACATTCTGAGAGAACAAAATACTAGATGATAGTTGGACGGCATAGTGACACTATAAATAACCTTTCTTTGTATGGCAATGTATAACCTGCACACATGATACTATAAACAACTTGACGTAAAAGATGATATGCTTATGCACACAAAGAAAATCTCGAATTTCAGACATTAAAACTCGCATGGTGGTGTAGTAGACGGTGATGTCCAGACGTCCAGCCGAGGCTATCCAGTGCTTGTGAAACAGCAGCCACATCAACGTATATCCCGATTTTTCGTGTGTCTTCGTTGATCAACAATAACCTATAGACAGCACCCGAAAGATATGCCTCCACACCATCGGAATCGATCAGATACGTCACCCACCTGGTCTTTTCCAGTGTGTCAGAGATATCATTCTACACCATAACAACCATGGAGCGTTCTGCGGTTTTCGCCACAACAACAAAGACTCATTTTCCGGGAAAAGACCTCCAATGATAACACCCTTTTACATCAGTTGTTACAGCATCTACGACTCTCCATTTCCCCAGTGCTTATTCGTCACTACCCAGTAAATCACATCCCACTGTTTCATTTGAAAAGGGAAGGAGAGTGGATTATTTGGGAACCTCCCCGAACAGTGCTCAATATTCCAGGGAAATGGGAGCTTGTATACCTGAAGAGGCTGTACCAAACAGGAAACAACTCCAGTCGGAAATGCAAGTGCTGAGAAGAGCTGAAGAGGATGCATACACACAAGAACAAGAACGCCATCATGCCTTGTAAGATGCTTATGGCAGGGAAGAGGCCTGGTGCAAGCCCTGTTGCAAGCCCTGTTGCAAGCCCTGTTGCAACCATGCAGGGCAGACGAGTGCCACAAATTTCAACAGCGGTTTCATCAGCAGAGACTTAGAGAGGAAGAGGGTATCTTTTGGCTAAAAGACGAACTCCAAAGCGCAGAAAGATGCATGATGTAATGGGTTAATCAGTTAATAGACGAGGAGGCGGAACTTAGGAAAATGGCAGACATGAACATAGCACCATAAGCAAAATCCGGAGGAAATCATCCGGAAATGGACGCCCAGTCAAAACTCTTAACAGTTAATTGATTTGAGGCGGATTTGAACTCCATTATTGAAGTTCCTTGAACTTCGAAGAAAGGACCATTGTACCACCAGTCAATACCAAACCAGTTCCCAAAGTCCCAAGAATGAGCCTTGGGAAGTCAAGACCGGAAATTCTAATACCAAGCTCTAACCAACCTATACTTCCAAATTTCCGGCACTTGCATCCAACTAACACTGGTCAACAAGAAGGCATTGGAAAGCCTGAAGTCAGGTTTCATCACTGATGTGGCAGGACTTAGAATCAAGGGGAAAACCTATCAGTTGCCCAAATGTGCATCACCTAATGACGATGACGTGCTACTAGGATCAGACTATAGCAACAGTAATAACCTGGATTATCACCTGTTAATCATAAGAGAAAGAGAAGTGCCAATGATGATAAAGGCCCGGTGAGGTCCAGCACAATGTCGGATCATTCCACCAAACTCCGTCAGAATATTAAATTGTGCTCTGGATGGTGAGACCATCCGAGACCCCTGCTAAACTATATGAAGGGTAGTAGATAGGCATGGCCTTGGAGGTGGAAGCAATCTGCCTGAGCCGAATCAAAGTGAAATCATCAACCAACACGACGGGTTTGTGTAGTCAGACAGGGACGCTAAAGATACCAATCCAACGCCATGCCCAGATCCACCTCCCCATTTGAAGATTTGTACCATCGCTCTTCTGTCAATCTCAAAATACCAGATCAGAAGAAGTTGGCTGAACTTCATATCAATTTAGGATGATTGAGACATGGGCAACTTCACAGCACTGGAACACAACATTGATACAGGAAATGCCGAGCTGATTAAACAGAGGATGCAAAGAACACCTCTCAGATTTGCGGAAGAGTAAGAGGCCCATCTGGACTAGATGCTGAAGGAAGGCGTCACCCAAACCTCTTCTTCCTAATGGTTTTCAGCACAAAGTCTTGTGCTCATACGCAAGCGAGGTAGGGGCGTACGCTGGTACATGGACTACATGCTCTAAATTCAATCTTTTTGAAGGACGATTTTCTGCTACCACTTATAAACGAATGCCTCAACGACTCTCCTTACTGCTAGATAAAGATCAGAGAGGAAGATCGTAAAAAGTTAGTCGACATTACCTGTTAGGTCATCCTTTTACTGCACGAACGGATCACAGTAGTCTCAGGGTTTGCTTAACTTTAAAGTCCCAGTAGGGCAAATAGCGAGGTGGCTCGAAGAACTAATCGAATGCGACATTACATTGGATCACAGGCCTGAAGCAAAACACCAAAATGCTGATGGTCTGTCTATAATCCCTGTCAAAGAGCCTTGTGAGAACTATCGTTTCGCAATTGAAGTAGAATCCTTGCCATGCGGAGGATGTAGATATTGCCAGAAAGCACACAGTAATTATTCACAATACGCTAAATCAGTTGATCAGGCAGTCCGAACCGACACAGTTTGATCTGATCAAGTTCTTGAAGTACTAGGATGTCACACCGCTACCAGGGGATCTTTTCGGGGAAATTTCAAACATTTGGATGAAGAAGACAATTTATTGATATCAACTTATTTGTTGTGAGTAACACAACGTTTCGGAGTATATACTTACTCCTTCACCAGGTGAATAAATGCTACCTGTAAGAACAACAAAAGTAATAAGATTACAAAGGTGATGAATTGGCGAAGATATGTAATTAGCAATGGAAGCCAGGATTTAGATTATCACTGATTGATACTAGGTTATGAACAATGAACAAACGGGAGGCCGGGGGTAATTAGCACTGATAGGTAAAAGAATGGAAATGGCAAGGGAGAAATGGAAGCCAGCTGATAATTAGCACAGACGATAATCAAAGGAATAAGTCCGAAGCACTTGGCAGATAGGTTCCCCGGTCACGGGAACGTTTGAATATTTTTATTTAGCGCCCTACCTGGCAACAGTCCAGCTATATATAGGCTTCTGGATCTTCACCGAATCTGACCACACGATTCATTAGGTCACCTCACACTACATCCACAGGTTCTATTCAACCTATGCTGGTCGTAAGAGCCGACTTCATGGAATTGGTGGTCAGGTTCAGTGAATAGGTTGACAGGTGTCATCGTACCCCGTCGGCATGGATCAAAAATCAATCTACGAATTGACTGGTCCAGACGCGATTATTTACTGGCGGCCGTCATTGAGTTGAAATATTGCTGACCGCTTCGTTAGACAAAACACAAACTCGCTACCTGGTTTCCTATCAGAGGGACATATATGTCGATTATTCCTTGTGGAATAAAGAAGACGGTCTATATTTAGTAATGCACGGAAGTCGTTATTCATTTTACAAGTGTACTTCTATTTTATTCTGTGACACAAACCACAATCAGTTGTCAACAGCGAGGAACCAGCGCAGGTTCTATATCGACCGACTCAGGAGAAATTACATAGACGGACCTGTCACATGAAAGTGACTCTAAATGAATTATGACACGACATGAGGCATCTTTTGTAACAAACAGACTTCCACTAATTCCTTCAATCAATAACTGAGTTTTTCAAATTCAAAAATTGTCAAAACGGAGTCGACTGTAGACAGACAATTACTGTGATAAACAACAACTAGTGTCTGCAGTGTTGCCACATCAAATGAAACGACAAGGACATGACATGCGTTTGTTAGATAATTCGACATCAACTAGCTTCTTTTGAAATCCTGATCTCAGTTACCATCTAACCATTTTAAACCCCAACTTAGTGCCCCAGTGAGTGAGTTTGGTTCAACGCCTGTATTTCAGTGGCAGATAAGGGGAAAATCCGAGGTGATGCAGGGTTACTGTATTAGAAATGTGATCAGGATGAATCTGGGATTCGATCCCAACATCAGTATATTCTTGCACGCCTCAGGGACATAACTGTGCCCCTACCCTCTCCCATCTCGTCATAGATGTAGCATGTTAGCAGTGATGCATACATTCACGATTGTAACTAAAGAACATGTTTTGAATCATATTTGCTTGAAGGTAACGAATTGATTACGAAGCTACACGTTTAGGTGAATATTACAAGCGATACATGGATATTTAATTTCAGGAGTTGGATCTGACTGTGAGGTCATCAAGTTGAAGACGACAAATGATGTCTGAGAATATCTTATCGTGGAATTAAAAGTTAGGAGACTTTAAATGTTATTATTATCGCTTGATTTGTGAAAATAACATAGCTTGTGTTAATGACATTGTTAATGACATTATTGTGTTTTTTAACAACAATACCATGTTGTCTCACTTGTAACACTGATTTAACGAGAAAAGTGACTTCCCAATCGGCATACTGTTGTTATATCTTTATATTATTGTTTGTCTTAAATATACTGAACGGCAAAAGAAACGTCACCCCAAGTAATATTACATGAAAAGTTGTCATTTAAATATCTGGGTACATTTTGTCTAAAATTTAACATTACCTGATAAAAAAACAAAGCAGATGACAATTTAAACCGATCGCCCAAACGCATCACGGCAACGGCTTTCGCTCGTCAGATACCACAACTATTCACTCGTTTCATAAAATTGGTATTACACGGGAGCTCGTTTAGTATTCTATATTTATTATATAATGAACCGCAAAAGAAACGTCATCCCAAGTAACATTGCGTGAAAAGTTGTCTGGGTATTTGATGATAAAAAACAAAGCAGATGACAATAAAACCAATCGCCCAAAACGCATCAGGGCAACGGCCATGGTAACCCGATGCACGTGAGTTCCGTACAAATTGAAATGCATATGCGTTCTCCTATTTCTTGCCCTATAAAAATCCACCCAGATCGGATAACATACATTCGTTATAAAATTGCTATCACATGCCAAGATTTGCAAGAAATCAGCGACACCAACCCCTTGGACGATTGCAAACTGGACAAACCGCCCAGCAAGCAGCCAATGCATTTCAAGTCCATGTAAGGGTCATTTTCAGGCTCCAGCAACGGGACCAGACCCCCAACACTACAGATGATCGACCACGTAGTAGAAGACCAAGGGTCACCACCCGATGTCAGGATCGTCAGATTGTGCGACAGCATCTTCAACATCGCTTTGTCACTGCTGTGGAAACTGCTCGACAGTCCCTGGGGACACACCAGCGACACATTAGTGCGGACACCGTGCGTCGACGATTGACGAGCAGACACCTCCTCTGTCACAGGCCAGACTGAGGATCCATTCCGACACCACGTCATCGCCGGGACCGTCTTCAGTGGGCAACACAGCACCAGCATTGGCGCGACCAGTAGTGGAGAAGAGTCCTCTTTTCAGACGAGAGCCGTTACTGCATCTCAGGAGCAGATGACGGGGAGTCTAGCGACGCCGTGGGTGACGTTATTCGAATGCGTGTGTTGTTGAGAGAGACTCTTGGGGTGGTCCGAGCACCATGGTGTGGGGTGGAATTGGTCTTACTCAGAGGGTCGGCGCTGTGGTCTTCCAGAACATCGGTTCAGGGAGAGACAATGGTGTCACAGCAGTTCGGTACATTGATCAAGTCTTGAGACCACACGCCACACCTCATTTGGCACGTCGCCGCCACCACGAGTTGCAACATGATAATGTCCGTGCCCACACAGCGAGAGCAACAAGAGATTTCCTCCAGCAGAATGGCATAAGAACCATACAGTGGCCTGCCCTCAGTCCCGATTTAAATCCCATTGAGCACCTGTTGGACGAGATTCAAAGACGGCTGAATGACGTCAGACCAAGGCCGACAACTGCAGCTGAACTGCGTAAGGCGTTCCTGAGAGTGTGGGCTCAAGTGTCTATGGCCCTCATCAACCGCCTCATCCATTCCATGTATCGACGTTGCACGGCAGTCATCAATGCATATGGCGGACACACGAGATACTGACTTGTGATACCATTTTCTCAGATACTAGTGTTATGTTTCACTTTAAGAACATTTCACACTTTTTTAACCTCAGTTTTACCAAGTTTCATCTTTTCAATATGTCTCAAAGTATGTTTACAGTTTTTGGACAAATAAGGTTTCTGATATATCTATCCATGGTGACGTTTCTTTTGCGGTTCAGTATGTATAAAAAATACATTCTTACAGTACTGGACAGAGGTTTCACGAAATAAAAGAAAGAAAATAATGCCCTCCTTAAAAGTCTAGGTCCAACATTCAGGTGATTTCACAATGTTGCTCAACACAGAACAAACATTTACCTCTGCAGATGAGAATGTATACTGAGTCAAATTAAAAACTTCACATTTCAACCTTGATGATCAGTTTTGCCAAGTTTCCTTTTTTAATATGTCTCAAAGTATGTTTACAGTATTTGGTCAAATAAGATTTCTTATATATCTATCCATGGTGACGTTTCTTTTGCGGTTCAGTATATTTTGTCTGAAGTTTTAAGCGCGGCAGTCTCTCCACACAGAGTGTTTTCTCTGGTTTTTCGTTGCAAGAAAAGAATATTCTGAAGACAGCACACTATTTCTTTGGGAACAGCCCACGTTTAATGACTGTTAATAATGTTACCGTTTCTGTCATGGAGAGGGTTATCTCCGGATTCGGGCAAAACATATGTGGACCATTTTCTTGTCTTAATGCCTGAACACTGCTAAACCCGCCGTTAACAAAACGCAATCCCTTTTGATCTTTTCGTCGCAATATGGTTGAAAGTTTGCCAGTGTCATATCATATTCAAATTCAGTCACACTATAACTTCACAGAAATTTGATCTTCGATACCCTAGAAATAATAATTAGAAACCAGACGAATAAATGAGCATTATTATAACAAAATTGGAGGATTGTACGGTGAATACAACTCACCTGGTGATTGGGTAAGTCCATTGCACTCATCGTAGGCTTCTGGTTTCTCACTATTTTTAAACACGAAGTCATAGAACAACACACAGGTCATTTTACCTGTGAAGAAGTTACTACTGTTAATGTCTCGCCCCAGCCACAATTCCCCTGGGGTGCCAAGATATTCAACCGTATCTTTAACAGCAGCACTGTTTGTGCTGAGTTCACCATCAAGGTCCAGAGCAACCGTCCCACTGTCCATATCCCTCTTGAATACAACAGAGTGCCACGCATTCACAGTGATTGCTGTGGGGTGAATGAAAGTCCAGTTGTGACTGTTATAAGTCGTTTGAAATGTGACCGCACCACTGTTAATGCTGATAACAATCTCGTCAATTCCATCCTGTCCCCCTGAACTGTATTTGTAATGCGCGAGTGTTCCTGAGGTTGTGGTAGGATATACAAGCATGAATAAAGAGAATATTTTAAACTGGTCGTTGTTACTCATGCCGACCCGAACGTAATCAGTTAGTCCATCAAAACTGAAAGCTTTATAGTCCAGCGAGGTATGGCCGGACCCAACCTTTATGGGGTCGGTTAGTTGAGGGTATATGGCATCAACTGACGACTGTTCATGAGCCCCGGCCTTATCCCCAAGCTGCCATGCGCGCTTTGCGTTGCTGTAACACAAGACGCTGTGACACTGAAGCACTGCAACAAACAAAAACATGAGCACAATCGGGGAGGATGAAATGTGTGTTCGTCCATGACAGAGTCTTTCGTTTTATAATATGTGACCAGACACCAGAAAAGTCACATTTGTACTACTCATTATGTTTTAAAAATACAATATCGTAAGGACACAGGAACACAATGCCCAGGCTTCAATTCTTATTTATTAAAGAGATACTTGGCATCTAACAGTCGGACTAATTTTCTTAAAAATCCCATTTTCAGACTTGAAATAATAAGTGTTGTAATAATTTAGATATAGGGACTGATTAATTAAAAGACGAAAAAATGGTAACATGTTTTGATATACTTATTTTATTAGATACGAGTTGACAAGAGAAAAATAATAATATTTCACATGACACATTGAATATCCTATTTATTATATTTTGTGTGTGTAGTTGTCTACCGGAAACCTAAATTATTACATTCCAAATGAAAAACTTGAAACGTAACCTTCCCTTCCTTATATACAGGGACGGTTCGCCCCCCTTGTATTTGCAACCAAAAAAGTAGTTTCGAGTATGCAAAGTCATCAAAAATATCTATAAAAGTAACAACAAATATTAAGGGTCACGAAAATTCTGTATCATGCATGCATATAGATATGATTATATACATATTCGGCTATAACAAAAATTATTCTTGGAAACTACGAGACCACTGTTAGAAGCGAAAGAATACATGCTGGTCAAGTAACACAAATGCCACTTTGCGAAATGAGAAATTTACAGTTAATAACGAAAAATTATCCGGAGAATAACAAAAGAAGAAATGATTTATCCTCCATAAATGACCATCTGTCTTTATTTTGCCTTGTCAATGTGGAACTAACGTAAAAATGACGTAGGTTGTGTACGGGCTGGACACTTGTGATAAAGGGAGACAATTTAATGGAATACAATAGGTCCGTCAAAGTGTTAGATTTACTGCTGTGAAATGTCAAGTGTTATGTTCACTGCAATAAAAATATCACTTTTCTCAACTTCACAAAACTCTGTATTTCCCTCTGAAGTATATAATAATAATATTTGTTAAGACCTTTTGACATTTGGTCATTAATTAAATATTTTAGGCATGTGCATAATTCACAAAACCTCAAACAGATAACGAAACTAGCCTCCAACTTAACAGTTTAGCAACGTGCTGACATCAGCCTTTCGCGGCCACCAACTGGTCTGTCCGATAGAGTAACTGCCCTTTATCCAAGAGACACTACTCTAACCCTAGTCTAACAGAAGTCACGGCTACAGTCGTTGATAGTCGGCCGGCCCTCTCATTACGTTATGAAATGCAATCAATGGTACTGTATGGCCCAGACAGAATCAAAATCGGCATTTGGGTCTATATCGGTAGTCTGCTTGTTTCGACAATGGTTCGAGTGCTCCCTGTGATTGGAGTTAACGAAGTCTGCTCGAATAAAGGAATAAAAATATCTCTGAATAGAGGAAAACAAAAACACATATCTATGCTCAACAACAAAAGTTCCTGTGACACCAATATTTTAGTGTATTTTTGAAACAAGTAAAGTTTGGTTTTCAATATTCTAGTACACGTATGGAATCAAGTCACAAAAACGCAACTGCTACAGAAAAACATGCATTCCATGCAAAAGTTGACTTTTTTGCAAGCCCCATGCATTTCACTACCCAAGAATGAGTATAAAAACATGTTCGTTAACGGGATTCCATATGCATTGCTTAGCATCGTGCTGACAATAACCACTCAGAAAAACAACAAAATTACGCAATTATTCAACATTACGAAATGCCACGCCTGTCCGAAAATGAGCGTCTGCGAGCCATTGGTATGCTTGAAGCAGGATCGAGTCACGGTGATGCTGCAAGACGTTTTAACGTCCACAGAAACACCATTTGGTGTTTATGGCAACGTTGACAACAGACGAATGCAGTCAGAAACCATCCTCGGAGTGGCAGGCCACGCGTAACCAATAATCGATAAGATAACTGGATTCGAACAACACACCTACGAAATCAGTTCTAGCCAGCAACAGGGACTACAAGAAGCATCCCTGGCCTTCGACGACTATCTTCACAAACCGTACGTCGTCGCCTCAGATGTGCAGGGATTTTCGCCAGAAGGCCCGCCAGACGTCCCATTTTGACAGGAAACCACCGTCAAGCACGTCTACAGTGGTGCAGACAGCGTCTACGTTTGACGGCCATGCAGTGGGGACAAGTCCTATTCACTGACGAGTCTCGTTTTCACCTTAGCAACAGCGATGGACGGATTCGAGTGTACCGGCGTCGAGCTGAACGTTACGTCAATCATTGTGTCATGGAAGAAGATCGGTTCGGGGACGGCAGCGTCATGGTTTTTGGGTGGGATTACAGCAAGACAGAGGACCCGTTCGATAGTGGTAGAGGGAAATCTCAATCGACAGCGCTACCGCGACGAGATCATCAGCCCTGTTGTTCTACCGTTTTTGCGTCGGCATTACCTTTCAACATGACAACGCCCGGCCTCATATTGCTCGACTTGTTCAGGATTCTCTTCAACAAAACAACGTGAATGTCATCCCCTTGACGGCTCGCTCCCTGATCTCTCACCTTTCGAGCACATGTGGGATGTGGTATGAGATGGATCGGCGCCTTCGACGTCAACCACGTGTTCCACAGACACTCAAGGAACTTTGAAACATGCTCCAGCAGATATGGACAGATATCCCACAAGATTTTGTGCGACGCCTGGTCCATTCCATGAGATGAAGATGTGTTGTTTGCATCGAAACAAGAGATGGACACATACGCTATTGATTTGTAAATTGACATTTTGGCAAGTTCATGTTGTTGTTTTTATGAAATCACGCATTTTCTGAAGTCAGTATGGCAAATTAAACCATTTGAACACTTACAGGAGTCTTTTATCTGTTGCAAACCGAAATTGTTTCACATTTGGTAAAAACATATAACTTTGCATTAAATCAATGTCACAGGAACTTTTGTTGTTCAGTATATATGAATCTGTAATCTAGGTATCTATGGATATTTTCCAGATAAATATCGTATAGTCAGTTATTCTTCATGGGTTACACACCTAAAGATGTATTAATTAACTATTGCTTTGGCAATCGATTGCACTGAAAGTTGACGACAAAACGTCTTCTGAATTCAAGCAGCGAGTATATATTCAACCCAGATCTACAACGGTGTAAACGTCTTTCATACAATTCAAGGCACGATTACCCCCGTAATCTTCTAATGCTTTTGATGTTGAAAAATGCCCTAGGCCTTTCAAACTGAGAGTACAGAGAAAGCATCAGCACATTTCCATGCGGTTGTCACAACATGATGATTGAATTAGGTCGTCGAATGTGCATTGTTTAAGAATATCGATTGTGATAGATTTCGCTTGATAATGTTTCATCACGGTAGAACTTTAAGTGATCAAAAGAAACATTCTACACAAACACTATATATAACAGTTTCTTTGCATGATAAAGAGTGGTTGAGATTGGTTTATCGCCGCATTGAACATTATTACAGTTACATGTGTATCACGGCGTGTCAGCCTGATATGGGAGGAAAGCCTGAAGTGATGTTCTTTAAGTGAAACACAACACTAGTCTCTGAGAAAATGGCATCAGAAGTCAGTATCTCGTGTGTCCGCCATGTGCATTGATGGCTGCCGTGCAACGTCGATACATGGCATGGATGAGGCGGTTGATGAAGGCTATAGACACTTGAGCCCACACTCTGAAGAACGCCTGACGCAGTTCAGCTGCAGTTGTCGGCCTTGGTCGGACGTCATTCGGCCGTCTTTGAATTTCGTCCCACAGGTGCTCAATGGGATTTAAATCGGGACTGAGGGCAGGCCACTGCATGGTTGTGATGCCATTCTGCTGGAGGAAGTCTCTTTTTGCTTTCGCTGTGTGGGCACGGGCGTTATCATGTTAAAACTCGTGGTTGCGGCGACATGCCAAATGAGGTATGGCGTGTGGTCTCAAGACTTGATCAATGTGCCAAGCTGCTGTGACACCATTGTCACTCCTGGACCGATGTTCTGGAAGACCACAGGGCCGACCCTTTGTGCAAGACTTATTCCACCCCACACAATGATGCTCGGACCACCCCACGAGTCTCTCTCAACAACACAAGCATCCGAAGAACGTTCCCAATGGCGTCGCCAGACTCTCTCTCTCTCTCTCCCTCTCTCTGCCATCTGCTGTTGAGATACAGTAACGGCTCTCGTCTGAGAAGAGGACTCTTCTCCACAGCTGGTGGTGTCAGAACGGGTCCTCAGTGTGACCTGTGACAGTGACGGTGTCCGCACTAATGTGTCGCTGGTGTGTCGCCATGGTCAGTCGAGCAGTTTCCGCAGCGGTAACAAAGCGATGTTGAAGATGCTGTTGCCCAATGTGACGATCCTGACGTCGGGTGGTGACCCTTGGTCTTCTACTGCGTGGTCGGCAATCTGTAGTGTTGGTGGTCTGGTACCGTTGCTGGTGCCTTTATACGGTCCTTCCGTGGACTTGAAATGCATTGGCTACTTGCCGGGCGATTTGTCCAGCTTGCAATCCTTCAAAGGCTTGGTGTCGCTGATTTCTTGTCAATCTTGGCATGTGGTAGCAATTCAATAACGAATGAATTTTATCCGATCTGGGTGGATTTTTATAGGGCAAGAAATGGGGGAACGCATATGCATTTCAATTTACATGGAACCCACGTGCATCTGGTTACCATGGCCGTTGCCCTGATGCGTTTTGGGCGATTGGTTTTATTGTCATCTGCTTTGTTTTTTATCATCAAATACCCAGACAACTTTTCACGCAATGTTACTTGGGGTGACGTTTCTTTTGCGGTTCATTATATAATAAATATAGAATACTAAACGAGCTCCCGTGTAATACCAATTTTATGAAACGAGTGAATAGTTGTGGTATCTGACTAGCGAAAGTGTAACTGACAATGACATATGAATGACGTCATACTTATAACGACGTCATAAATTACAACTGT